TTACACTGGGTGACTCCCGTAGAGTTTCCAGTGGAGGTGGGGGTAGGAATCTCACTGGAAGAGGGACTGCAGAACTGCTTTCCCTACATTAGTATCTTCCCTTGACCTGGTGGCAATCACAATGTCTCACAAAGGTGTGGACTGACCACCACATTGCTGCTCTACAAGTATTCGCAATAGGGATGTTTCCTACAAATGCTGTGGATGTTGCATGCTCTGGTTGAATGCACAGACAGTGTTTCTGGAGGGGTGGCAACCTACGTGTTGTAGCACATTACAACAGAGCTGGTGATCCACTTGGACAGTCATTGTTCTGCACAGGAGACTAATAGTTGGGAAGAGATCTGAAAGGGCTTCATTCTATCAAGACAAAAAGCCAGAACATCCAGAATGTGGAGCTTTGGTTCGTCCTTACGAGCTTGTGGCTTTGGAAAGAAAACCAGTAAATATACTGACTGACTGAGATGGAAGACATGTACTCCTTTGGAGAGAAACTGTGGCCTAAACTGTACCTTGTTCTTAACAAAACAGTGTAGGGCGTGCAGCTCACCTACTCTCCTCATGGAGGTGACGGTCACTAAAAAGACCACAAGCAGGAGGCTAACAGGTCAAAGGGGGGAACCATAAGGGCAGATAACACTAAGTTCAAATCCCACTTGAGAGGGTGAGAAGCTGAAGTACCTTACTTACAGCTTTGATTAATGCTGGCCATATTCGCCTCTTATAATGCTTGTATAGCAAAAGAGATCAACTCTGGGTAAGATATCAATGATTTTTCAGGTAGGACTCCAGCACTTGAACTGCAGGTAAGGAAGGTTCAACATATGGGCCACTGGCCTACACCTCAATCAAAAGAAAATCAGCCAACCAGTTCAGGATTAACTTTTGGCAACATTTTAAGTAAGTTAGGGCAGGAGAGTGGGTAACTCTAACTATAGCGATAGCTTACTTTTGTATGCTTCTTTCACCTCTTGTTTCCTGCTGTATTTTCAGTGCTATTTGCTCCAGTACTAAGGGAAGCTACTTTTCCTTTGATGCTAACAAAAACACATTTGAAGTGAAAATTTGCAGTTAATATTTAAAAGTAAACTAATGCACATCCCAGGAGCAATTTACTTACCATCTTAATTACATTACTTTGCAAGCAGAGATTTAAAAAAAAAAAAAAAAAAAAAAAATCTCAGTAGCATTCTGCATCTGATGCTCCACTGACCGGGCTATTAAATTTGGAGCTAAGGTTAAAACTTCCAACACAAGTTATTCCACTAGCCTAGGCCTGGTAGGGATGTCAGGTCATTGTCATGTTTGGGGTATCATCCTGCAAAATGTCAGCAGAACAAGGCACGTTAAGAATAAAAGTGACAGGATGGCCTTGTATTTGTTTATTTAGCTCAGAACTTCAATGCTGTTTTTAGGCAGGTTTTTTTAATATTAAATGTCACTCGTGACTAGGTGACAGATGTCCCGATTTTATAGGGACAGTCCCGATATTTGGGGCTTTTTTATATATAGGCTCCTATTACCCCCCACCCCGTCCCGATTTTTCACACTTGCTATCTGGTCACCCTACTCGTGACACACATCAAATGAAGTGTAAAAAGTGAGCCGGTGTAAGATGGACAATGCCAAGTGCAAGTATATAAAAAATAAAAATGAAGAGCAGGAGGACTTTGAAAAATTGCATGGAGTAATAATGCACTTTCTAAAAACATCCAGCAGCTATCCCTTAGGAATAGCTGACAGAATGTCAGGCTACAGCTAGTTCAGGATTGTGAATTCTAGAATTCCTTCCATCAACTCGTTGTGAATATTTATTTCTCAATCACTTAAAAAAAAATCTTTAAATACTGTATAGAGATGCCATGAAACTTTATCCTAAACTGCTAGAATAAAGAGTATGGCAACTGGTCCAAAACCTAGTATATAGCACAGAGCCAAAAGAAAAGACACTAACAAGGTTATTAATCAACTATTAGAAAACCATTTTATATATAGCAACTCAAATAGCTGGTGTTAACCTCCATTTGACCTGCAGGAGATTTACATGGAAAACTCTAACATTAGCATGCAGACTGCTGGAAGAAAACAGAAGAAAAGAGGCCTCTGTGAAAAGTGGCCTTTTTATGTCAGATTGAGAAAAAAAAAAAGATGATAATGTGTGAGGAGAAGGATGTTGTCATCATCCAGGGAAGCTTGTTAAGGGCTTTAAGTAGGATCATGTCTGCTCCTTTCTCTTGAGACAGCCCACATTCACTCTTTCTCAATGTGGTCTGTAATTCAGGAGGCTGTTTTGGTCCCTCCACCTCCCCCTAGACACTCAGCAACTGTGGTCAAGAGTATTTGTTTTTTAAATCTGCGATTAGCTAAGTGAGTGTGACCTTTTTCCTTAGATATAGCCCTTCCCACAGTTATTTACACCTTTGTCATGTCTAAGATGGGTATTATAGTGCTCTACCTAGGACCTAAGTTCCCTCTAAGCTATATGGCTGTCCAGCAGTCTATCAAGTGTCGTGCACTTCAGGTACCCCTCCACCCACTGCTGCGCTGCTCCTGCCCTCTGCCTTGGAGCCCCTGGCCAGCTGCTCCTGAGAGCCTCCTGCTTTCTGTGCAGAGCAGGGGGGGAGGGGGAAGGGAAGTGGGCACCGATGTCAGGGTGTCCCCCTCCCCCCCCCACCCCTGTACCCCATCTCCACAGAGCAGGGGAGGGGACACAACAGGGCTCAGGAGTGGGATGGAGCTTGCTGGCAGCTGCTGCTGTGTCTGAACAAACAGGCTTCAGACTGGTGAGTCCCAATTTACTTAAACGGGCAGCATACTTAAGGGGCAGCATGTGTCTCTCACACACTCGCACACTCAGCGTCTCTATCTGTCTCTCTCTCACACACACACACCCCCCTCCCAACACATACGTGAAGTACTGTTGTGGTTACTTCTTGATACTTCCTGCAATGCACATATATTCTCTGTAATTTTATTCTTTCGAAGTGCTGCTATTTTAGTTTTTTGACTGGTCTAAGCCTTTCACAATTTTTATTTCTCTCTTACGCTTACATTCAATTCTTTGAGTAGTGAGTTCTAAAATGCCTAATCTGTCCTGGCTAGAGTAATTATCCCTATGGTAACTTTTTAAATATATATATTATATCTAGTTTTTTGTTGCTACTGGTGGCGCATATCCGCACATTACCTCGATATTGATGCACATAACCAAATTCAATCTGCACATGGATGGAAAAAATTTAGAGTGAACATTGCCTAGGACTACTCTTGAATACCATCATGGAAGCTTCAGATACTGCTGGATGCAGCAGCCTTCTGCTTAGCAACACTAGTCATGTTGTATTGCTTCCAGTTTGCTTCAAAGTGCAATACAGGGTGTTTATGTCAAAGCCCCACGAGACCTGGTTTCCGAATACTTTGGGTCCTGTCCACACTAGGGAAAGTTTAGCGACACGGAGACCTCATGTAGATGGGCTACAGCTGCTACATGCATTTTAAAGCACCATGTCAATCAGCTCTGCCAACAGCAGGGTTAACTGACACAGCATGAAATGATGGTGATAACCAGTGGCTGAAATTAGAATCACAGAATATTAGGGTTGGAAGGGACCTCAGGAGGTCATCTAGTCCAACCCCCTGCTCATAGCAGGACCAATCCCCAACTAAATCATCCCAACCAGGGTTTCGTCAAGCCTGACCTTAAATACCTCTAAGGAAGGAGATTCCACCACCTCCCTAGGTAACCCATTCCAGTGCTTCACCACCCTCCTAGTGAAAAAGTTTTTCCTAATATCCAACCTAAACTTCCCCCACTGCAACTTGAGACCATTACTCCTTGTTCTGTCATCTGGTACCACTGAGAACAGTCTAGATCCATCCTCTTTGGAACCCCCTTTCAGGTAGTTGAAAGCAGCTATCAAATCCCCCCTCATTCTTCTCTTCTGCAGACTAAACAATCCCAGTTCCCTCAGCCTCGCCTCATAAGTCATGTGCTCCAGCCCCCTAATCATTTTTGTTGCCCTCCACTGGACTCTTTCCAATTTTTCCACATCTTTCTTGTAGTGTGGGGCCCAAAACTGGACACTGTACTCCAGATGAGGGCTCACCAATGCCAAATAGAGGAGAATGATCACGTCCCTCAATCTGCTGGCAATGCCCCTTTTGATAGAGCTGAATTGGTATTAGCAATGGCACGAAAGATTCAGAAAATTTCCCTAGTGTAGGAAGAGCCTCGGAGACTGCCTCTCTCCTTACCTACCCTTCTGACAATTGGGATCAGAGCATTTGTTAGTCCCAGGGTTTGAGTTTTCTAGCTTTCCAACACATTGCTCTGAGAACAAGGCTCATAAGGTGGCAAAGAAGTGAGCTGCACAGACAGCTATGAAGGAAAGCTTGCAGGCTGCCTATTCACACTAAAAAAACTGCTCAAACTCTTTTATAAGCACTAAAAATTCACAGATAAAAAGAATGAAATTACATAAGAGTAACTGGCAACAGAATAACTCAAATAGGGATCGCAATAGCAGCAGCAACAATCTTTATCTTCCAAAAGTTTCTTTATGCTTCTCTTAATGTTGCCATGACTTCCTTTGTTTGATGATTGAAACAGCAACCCATAGTAGCAATTTAAAAGGGCAATTTAAATTTCAATTTCAATGGGCAGTTTTAATTGCTAAAAAATACTCTCTCACTAATATCATGGCTGCACAGCAGTCTCTCTTTTTTGTAGCAATTTTAAATACTGATACCAAGAATTAGGAATCCAAGTTGAAAAGGCACATTTGTTCTTTGTTAGTCTCTAAGGTGTCACAAGTACTCCTGTTCTTTTTGCTGATACAGACTAACACGGCTGCTACTCTGAAATTTGTTATTAAGTTACTCTGCATAAAAAGCAAGTCGAGAGCCAAGTGAGAGCGTGTATTGTGTTCCTTAATGCACCATATGCACAGATAGCATTAGCTGGAAAGGTGCGGGGAGGGAAGATATAAAACAGAATTTACCATCTGAATTTCTTCAGGTGACAGTTCATCTTCACCTTTGCCATCCCCCCATAGCCCCAAGTTAGTGTGGGCATCTGTCAGATTCTGATCTGTAAAGATAACCAAAAATCCCAAACATATCAGCATACTGAAATGTGAAGCTACAACCACTGCTTACTCATGTAGTACCAACTATCAAATGATTAGATTTCATTTCTAGTTAATTGAGACTCATGCTACACATTTATCAGCAGTTCACACAGGTAAGGTACAAGTGCAGGACTGGGGGCAAAGATTTAGACACACGCTTAATTTTGTTCACTGGGAGAAGCTGCATTGAAGTATGGACGTTGCAGCAAGTGGAAATACTCATAGTGCATAAAGTTAAGCCCATGCAGAAGTCTTCGCAGCATCGTTTCCTTTGTCAGGAAACGAGACATCTGTAAAAGTCAAAACAAAGTCATTTCTCCCACAATGTGGACTTTAACAGAAATATATGTACACTTTTGAAAATGACACCAACTGTAGAAAGCCATTACCTTTCCTGAGATTTCAGAAAACCACCTCCTTGCTACTCACATTATTTTGCAAAATTAAACCCAGAACCTCATTTCAAAATATTAGCATAAACCTCCCAAGACTTATCTCATTTCCTTATGTTGTTGATTCTGCAGATTATGGCCCCAATTGTGCAACTGATTCCTCACGAGGGGTCTGCCTGCATGCAACAAGTTAGATCAGGCTCCATCCTGCAAACACTTAACACCAGGTTTGTTTGTTTTTACATACTGGAGCAGCCCCATTCATTTCAATAGGAATACTCTCATAAGTGAAGTTGTATTTGATTTGCAAGACTGGGACCTAAAACATCTTAAATATATAACTTCTGAAAATGGAGTATACAATAGAAATTGCAGTTTAAGATTAACTACTATAAGGTACTTCCGGACAAGGAGAAAAATACCACTTTCTTTTCATTCCTTTCATCTCTACTAAACTGCTCAAGATAGTTAAGACCAAAGCAGACTGTGAAGAACTTCAAAAAGATCTCACAAAACTAAGTGATTGGGCAAGAAAATGGCAAATGAAATTTAATGTGGATAAATGTAAAGTAATGCACATTGGAAAAAATAACCCCAACTATACATACAATATGATGGGGGCTGATTTAGCTACAACTAATCAGGAAAGAGATCTTGGAGTCATCGTGGATAGTTCTCTGAAGACGTCCACGCAGTGTTCAGCGGCAGTCAAAAAGCAAACAGGATGTTAGGAATCATTAAAAAAAGGGATAGAGAATAAGATGGAGAATATCTTATTGCCCTTATATAAATCGATGGTACGCCCACATCTTGAATACTGTGTACAGATGTGGTCTCCTCATCTCAAAAAAGATATACTGGCACTAGAAAAGGTTCAGAGAAGGGCAACTAAAATGATTACGGGTTTGGAACGGGTCCCATATGTGGAGAGATAAAAGAGGCTAGGATTTTTCAGCTTGGAAAAGTGGAGACTAAGGGGGGATATGATAGAGATATATAAAATCATGAGTGGTGTGGAGAAAGTGAATAAGGAAAAGTTATTTACTTGTTCCCAT